AGATTTTCACGAAAGCCGCATATTTCTGAAATGGTTTATCTAAGGTGATGGATGGCGTTGTGATAAACTCCATTGTAGCCTTGTGTGTTTACCTTCCGAAGAAATAAGTTATCACAACCATTGAAATTAAAAAAAAGTTGCTGTAATCTGTCACAATAAATAATGACAAGCTTGTTTTAGAAGCGGTTGATATTTCTGACAAATACTACTCCCTAATTGTCCATTCTGTGAAAAAATTATAGGCGATACAGAAATGTAAATCTGCTCCGCTCAATGTTGATTCAATTTTACGGAAGGTGCAACACTTTGGTAAAGTATTGAATCACGTGTAACCCATGTGGCCGATGACGTTTTACGGTTGTCCGCTTGTTCAAAATGGAGCTTCCAGTAATCCGTCATTTGACGCTGCTTCAATAATAGTCAGTCGAGTAGAGACAATTCTAAAGGTGTATGTATGACTCTTGTCCAAGGAGAACTGTCCTTGAATGGATTTGAATACGCGAATACTTAATATGTGAGAAGGAACCGATTGGTAGTAGTGTCTTGGGGTTTGATCAAATTCAGAAAGTTAACTTTGGGGGAACATTTCATTTTTCTTTGAAATGTTACACTGAAAAGTGTTTTCTCATTCAGCTGGTTGGCAAAACACAACTTGTCATTTACACAATGGGCATTGTGTGTGATGATGATTTCAAGTGTTCATTGAGAACGATACACGATTGTGACATAAATATTGGTTACCTGTTGAAACCGATCTGGTCATCCAGTGATTTGAATCTATTCGTCTTGCAGAAGATTGAGAAAGGAGACACTGGAATTCCCCGAACAATTCATAACAAGCAGGATCGGATGTGAACATGTTGTTGCGCTATTTATGTCGTAGACAAGCGAACAGCCTATCCAAATTCAAAGACACCAAACAGTATGATGAAGATTTAGTTTAGAATAGTGCAAATAACGTTTCCTTTGATGAAACAGATATAAGTAATACAATGTATACTTCGAAAACATCAGCACACCTGACGATACCTGTAAAGTCGAGTCAGTGCGGCGCTCAGAGCATGACATTACTCCATTCCAGACGGCGTTGACCTACCAAACATTGGACATTCGAGACCTGTCCGGAGTATACGTTTGCCTTGCGTCTCCGCTATCACGTGACTCGGACCCGCCTATCTGCTTACACCGCGCCCCTGCCATCACGCTTTCACTCACGCTTGACGCACACTTGTACGGTACACACATGACTGTTGATTAGCCCAGGCAATCCACGTCACCAAACTGACTCGGCGTCGCGTCGTTCTCCCGACTTAAACGGTTCGGCACATGGGGAATACTGATTCCGCCACACATGAATGCTAGTCGCTACCACGTTTATGCTGTGGTAAGCGGGTGTGAACAGAAACTCGTTTGGCAATCCTATGAATCTTGGTGACCACACAGTCAAATAGAACTGTGATTTTATCACAATTTATTCATAATTTATTTCAGTTTTGAGAACTGAAGTTATGTAGAACTTGTCAACATGCCCAAAATTCACCCACGTTGCTTCCACCAATAGCTAACCGTAACTATCAGAAATTCCTTTATTCACCGGGAAACACGAATTATGATTGAGTTTGAAATGAGCATAGATGACTGTGTACATGACAACTGCGGTTTCAGTTCATTCTGCCATAGCTATCCAACAAGGTGCTCATACCTATTTGACGGCTTGAGTGAAACTAACACCAGGAAGCTGATAATTCCTGAAATTGCGCAAATATTAGTTTCATCACAGTATACCAGGCATCGGAATATATACAACAACCAGATTCAACGGATAGTCAGATGTTGTTGGTGATGTTGACTTTACCACCCACCTGATGCTACATTAGCCTTGATAGGGCAAGCACCACTCAGTAGACAGTCCATAAGATGGGTGAAACATTTCGAGCCAGACTCTTGCCTTCGATTACTTTTGCTGTGTCGGGCTTTCATGAGATCTACATAACCAATGATCATGGGCCGGCAGGAAGATATGACTACATATTATGACAAATGAGAGTTATGTATTCATCATATTGCTACCATTATTTCATTTTTGATTTCTAATTTTGATTGCTGCTGAGAAGTATCAACCAGAAGTGCTGCAATCAATGTACCATTAACGGTTATTCCAAGTCAACTAGATTCAATAAAGTTTGTGACAATCAGGTGAAAAATGTACATTTTTCTTTTCTTTTCATGTCAAGTAAAACATTTGCTTTATACACCCTTGTCTCTGAGTACTCAGCCGTAAATAACCATACTCACAGCAATTTCAGGAAAAAGAAAACAACAGTTACAATAGCAAAAAACGCAATGATAGGAGTTGATTTAGTTGCTAGGGCAATACACGTTGTCTAAGTTCAGCGTCGATGTTTGCAGGACTACATCAGAAGCGAGCAAGGTAAGAGACAACGGAGGACCGGTAGGCAGTCGTGCGTGCATCAATCATTCTATAATTATTGCAGGTGGAAGAGGAGCAAGCACACTAGCTGAGGTCCCTGTGAGCTGGTAGGTTAATCTTACTTTTTGAGAACGCAGGCAACATGTTTAGTCCAAAAAAATTATGGTTGATTGTAATCCCAATGTGTATGCCCGATAGTTGACGAGAAATGGAGACATGTCCTACGTGAAAGTCTGGACAGGATTCCAGAAAGTTCACTTACTTAGAGTTTTTGAGATGAGAAAAAGAAAAACACCTGGGCAGTTACGTTGATTTAAGGTTAGGCTATGAGCTTTTGACCAATGGCCAGCTTCTAAGAGACCAGAATGGAGTTCATGATGAGGCAACGCAAAGGCAAGATCATCTGCATACTTTTGATTGAAAGAACAGTCACTGCAGGCATGAAAGACGTGTGGGAGGAGAACAGAAAAAGGGAGAGGATTGAGCCCAGTAGTACGCCCTGGTTTGAAACAGAGATGGAAGAGGTTCTGCCTCGTATCTTGTAAACTGTTGCAGATTAAAAAAAATAATCAGACAATAGTCCAATGTGTGAGGATTATATTCCGTTATTTAGAGTATTTAGAGAAGTTTTCGTCCATCAGCACTAGTATATACATCACTGTAGTCTGAGCAGCAGATACCCTAAGCTTCTGATTTTTTTGTCGAGAGACGACAAGACATTGTGAGTAAATGAAGCAATAGCATCCAAGATAGAGCAGAAGCCGTAGTAGGCAAACTGGTTTAAGTCTCTTATTGTCAAATCACTGGGCAGTTCCTGGTGTAATAACTTTTGATGCGATGTAGGTACAGGCAATTGGACGGAATTTAGTCTTCCTTTTCTTCGGCGCAGATGTGATGGAAGCTGATCTCTGACAGTAAGAATTCTTCTTGCAATACAAGTTCTGATTACTTGTTTTTGTGATGACTGGTATGAGTATCTGTGCACGCTGGCTGATTACAAGTGGGCGAAGATTTGTTGCGTTCGGGGTCTGGCAGCTGTTTGTAAACAGCTTGAGGGAATATGTTGGGGGAGACGGGGCTGCCGAGGCTTTGACAGGATAGGACGTTAGTACTACTGTTCAATAAAGAGCATAATTGCTCGTTGAAGTTGCGATTTAGATCTTCGATATTACCGTTCGGGGATGAGCGTCTAGTGGAAATAGCACTCGAATGTTTGATGGACATCCAGCGTTCTCGGCAATTGTTGTCGGCTAGGAGCACTCTATTGTATGTGCCATTAGGCCTAAGGATTTCTGATTTGATTGACAAAGAAAGGGTTTTCACTGTAAGATAGATCCTACTCCTGAGGGACGGAGAGCAAAATCAGTCATTATGGATGTATAAGGTCTCCAATGGGCGACACAAATCGTAGCAAAAATTCAAGTAACTTGTAAGATACTTACAAAACACAGTGGGGTCTTGGTTGTTGGAGACATCGAAGTTAGTCTGCTCGATTTTAGTCTGACGCCTTTGTAAGTTTTCCGAATCACATGGACGCGTTTTGCGTTTCAGGTCACTACAGTGGATGAAGATTCTGTAGCTACCTGAGCTATGTATCTTTAGAGAGAACAATATAATGGCGTGATCCGACTTCCCTAGAGGAGATCTATCAGTGGCCCAAATCAGATCGGGGTTGTTTGTGAAGCACAAATCAAGGTGGACATCAATCCTAGTGAGGAAGTTTACAACCCTTTTCAGACACTATAGCGTCAAGAATTCTAGCTGAGAACGGTTGAAACCACCATAGACAAAGCACAAAGAATTAGCAACATAACTCAAAAGTTTGAATTATAAAATCTCAGAGGAATCTCCCAAAACATTAGTAGGACATATAACCAGGGGTATTGAAAATATTAGCCACTTTGTAATTTCATGTGAGCGTTGCAGATGTACCCGTTAGTTACTTCCGAAATATTCCTGCTAATCCGACTACTGTATTCTTGTGGCTGTAAACTCCACTCTCAAACATAACTAATCTTTGGTTGAGTTCTGTTCCATTACAAATCCAATGCATCCAAATAGCAATTATTCATAGCAAACTTAACCGAAATGATCTCGCAGGCGTGCCAAGTCATTCTGTCTGGTAGCAACAGTGCTGATCAGAGTAAAATACGCTGAGCTGCCTTGATAAGCAGTGAAGTGATGGACTCTAACACGAACTCGGACTAAAGCGTTGTACTAAATCGTAATCTGACTATACGCAAAAATGATATTTCACTGTGTTCGCTGGTAAAAGTTTTGAATCCTATAACCACAGTGTCCAGATTCTGCAAAATGGAAAATTGGACATTATCATCGTGGATGATTTTGAAGTTGTCTTATCCGCTATGCGTGAAAGGACTTTGGAACTTCGTAATCTTATTCGGTCGGGATCCCACCATCGTATCCATGATGCGTACCTCCCACTCCTTGTCCGAACGCTCTCTACCAAGCGATTTGGTATTGGAGATCAGTTTCTTGAGTCGACAACCTAAAATGATGGCGATTTGAGTACAACCCAGTCCAGTGCCCACAGATGATTTACAAAAACAACGTATCGTCGCACTATAGTAGGGGAGCGAAAATTATCATCAGTGACTATTTTCACAACATAACCTTACCACGTTAGCACCAATGCACGAGAGGGTCGATGGTGGTGATTCAGTGGTAACATTTTCGTTGAGATCATGAACTTCATTGCTAAACTCAGTGTAAGAGGATCTTCCCATAGATCCACTTTCGGATTTGAAGGATAAAAGGGCCGGTGTTTGCTTTGGCACGGAAATTCAAAATGTTTCTCGTGCAAGCGCAGACCAGCTGGAGCTCGGGATTGTCAGACGACGGGCTCAAGGTGGTTGCGTCCACGTGGAGTATTTTATTGCCTATTACTTCACAGCTATCAGGACTCAGTGGGAACGATCCCTCAAAATTGAAAACCAAGCGAGGCGATCAATTTTCCAATACTTCCTTTGGGCACGCTTGTTTTAGGTTAGATCTTGATCACAATACCATAAGCAATCGGCTAAGACCTAGGCTGTTGAATGGAAACTACATGAAATGTTTTAAAATTGAGCACTTCTGTTTTCCGTGATATTCTTTCCTAAAACTTTCAACATTTTAGTGCGATTACAATTACACTGTGTTCGTTCAAAAGTGGTAATTAGCTTATTATGTATTTCCAAAACCAGATCGCATAATGATCAAATCTAGTTCTGACCATTGTGAAATTGTGTGTTGACTCAGCGTTCGTAGGCTGTCAAGTCACGTTATCGGTTAGCACCTGTACCGTACCGAGCACAATGTGCGATACAACGAAACGACGAGTGCCGGGATACCCAATCAATGATGTGGATCAATAGAATGGGCTCTTCTTTTGGACTGATCATGAGCTTTATCAGCTGGTAGATCATAAATGGGTTAGTGTTTTTAATCAACCGACTGTTTGTGTGGACAATTTACTGGGTTAATGAAACTCAAAGCTGTGGAATTGCATGC